CATGGGCGTGACGTCACGACCAATCCGTTCGCGAGAATCCACCTAAAGATTTCCCGCCAAAAGTCATTGCGTTCAGGATCGCTTTCAAGGAAGTCATTACTTCAACTGGTATTAGCATTGATATTTGCTGTTCTCAGAGAAAAAAACATATAGGAAATTACAAATTACATCTGTAAGAGGACAAAGAGAGCTCAATGCTATCAAAAATATATCAAGGCGTGAGACACGGGCAGCCTAGCTGAAGACTTCGTAGCACATTAGTCTTTTATTTATATTTTCCAGACTTTCTTTGGTCATTCTTGAATTTCAGATTTATGTTAAAGACAATCTATTTATCAGAAACGCGATTACTGTGTAAATATTTCACATAATTCAACCTATCAAAGTAAAAGTAAAGACAGATTAATGGTTAACCTCACTATTTTCATTTATATATTTATTTGTTTTTTTTTTTATTCTTTCTTCATTTATTTATTCTTTACTGTTGTAAATGATGCAATCTCACTTTTTAATGGAAGTCTTAGTAGGCAGTGTCACAGAAATAGATTTGTGAGGCAGTAATTAAATGCATCGTTTGATTCGTGTAATATTATCTTTGTAGAATATTGCGAGTTTGAATTTTGTTGTAAGTTTCCAGTGATTAAATTTTTATTATAAATTTTATTTTATTATAGAAAACGGTTCTAATTTTGTTTCATTTTTTTGCTGCTGGCATTTTTATTTTGAAATATCTTAGTATGTGGACTATGTTATGTGAAACGTATGTGTGTATAGGCTGATGTAGAAGTGAATGAATTTATATTTGTCATTATGAGTCAGATATCCTGTTTATCCAGTGAAATAAGTTGAAATATGTGATATGGCCAAGACGTTACCGCGTTTTCCCGCCAAATTTACCCAGGCAACAAGTAGCCCCGCCCCTTGCAGCATCTGTAATTAAGAAAGAATATGGTTATACCGGAAGGTTGAGTTTTGAGTCGATCACCGATATCAAGAGATATATTGACAGTAAGAATGGGATTTAAATATGCATTGACTAATTATTGATAATAGCCCATTTGTACAAATGTTTCCCATCCTTGAAGCTGATTGGTTCACGCACGAGCAGCGCTTAGTTCTGATTGGTCTTCCTATAATCTGTATTATGATTGGCTGGGAGAGCCTGGGCAAGGCGCCACCACCAGCTCGAACAGGTTTTTTTGTTGACTGACACACTCATGGAAATTGCGTTTGTGCTTTGACATTCTTGTATAACGCCAGTATTTCTGGGAAGAGCTGGCAGTTAAAGTGCTAAAGGATTGTTGCAGTCACAGTGGTAACCCAAGGACTTCGGTGTAGTCTGGGAAGAGCGCTGGCGTTGGGCTTGCTGCCTTGCAGTGATTTTTCTACCCTCACGTGATCATCGCATTGGTTGGTGTTTATTAGTATACTGTATTTGCCTTTATAAGAATAGTGATGTGCCATTATTTCCATGTAGGTGTAATCTATGTCAGGTGCTGATACCTGATATGTTTTACATAAGCGGAATTGTCTCGCATAGATGCAAGGGTGCAGGCTGTCTAGCTGTCCTGAGATGTACCTGTCGTGCCGTGACGTGCCTGTGGTGATGTGAAGTGTCAGTGTTACCCGCTTTGGGATACGATGTACGTATTTTATGTTTGTGTATTGAATTTGCTACTTATGTTAGCCATTTTGAAATTATTTGTATATTAGGTGAGCTGCATTTCAGTACATAGCAATGGTATCTATTTGTTTGCAGCTCGAATGTCTCCTCCAAGAAAGGTTTAAACCGTGTGCAAGAATCCAAGAGACTATTCTTGAAGCCCTTATTGCTGCAGGCAGTGCAGACACATTGTACTGGTGGCCCCACAGTGTGACGTATTCTGTAGTTGGAGATACTGGGGACTACAATCTTCGAGACGGAAAGTGCTGATAAATGAAGGCGCATTTCTTGTCTTGCTGCCGCATATATATTGAACCAATATCTTGTATGAGTTCTCTGTTTTAGATCCATGTTTTTCATTGTTTTCCTCGTGTTGTAAAATTTCAAATCATGGCAATGACTATATCAATATATTTTTGCCTAGATCTATTTCTAAACAAGGAGAGAGTGAAAGAGGCAAGACTGCCTGTCCAGAGCAATCCAGTGGACTCACATCCAAAGGTTTCTTTTTCTTTTTTATTGTATTTAGACAGTGGAAGAACAATGCATTTTAAGGACCAGGGTAATTATGAAATGGAATCACCGATAAAGAGGTAAATAACATAGTTTAGAGGAGCCTATTAGAATTCACATCTTGGTAAGGATTAAACTTTCTTATAATTGAAGTCATATCCATGGAAATACCTCAGTACATGATATCAATAAAGAAACATATAATAAACAAAATGAATATTATTACGACTTGCAATTAACGTTACCAATGCACCATTTTCGGGGCCGGATTTACTAACGTCTTACGATATCGTAAATGGTCTGTTTATATCGTAAAACAAGTTACTCTCTCGTTTCTCGCAACGAGCGTATTTTCAAAACACTCCCGAGGTCGTAAACACATCTCCGTACGAGAGACATTTACGGGAGCCCGCAACCTCTCGTGACGCTTATCGTAGCGACCCTCCTCAGCTCATATCAGCTTCATAAATACCTTCAGGAGTGTGTAAATGTCACTTTGCCTTGTGGAAATCAATTAATGTGCAAGAGCAACCATTGAGGATGCATAATAACGAAAAAAAAGCAATATAACTAATGCAAATAAGGATTAGCCTTTGCCAGTGCATAGAGATGCGGAAACACTTGATGTAAACCACTCAGCAAGTTTAATTTATCATGAATTAAAGGATCTCTAACACATCTTAAAGTACAAAATCTGAATGAAAATGCATAATTCCATTATGACTATTTTCCTCTATAGCAACAAAACATGATAAATATTTAATAATAAATGTTACCAATATACAAACACACCTCTTAATAGCCTAATGTAAAATTACATTTAGCATTGGCTCCATTTCTTTATGAATAATGATTAAGATGAATGTTTTACTGGATTGTAACAAATTTCTATCATAATATTTTATGAAAATATAATGAAATGCTTGATTTTTTTTGAGAGACAGATATGAATATATATATATATATATATATATATATATATATATATATATATATATATGTATGTATATATACTATATTCATATATGCATATACATACAATTCTGTATATAAAAATATATATACATGTATATGTATATGTATATATATATGACTAGATATATACATGTACTGCATATCTTTTGGCATGTGTATATATATATTTATATATATATATATATATATATATATATATATATATATATATATAGGCCTACACACAGACACACACACACACACACACACACACACACACACACACACACACACATATATATATATATATATATATATATATATATTATATATATATATGCATATATATATATGTGTATGTATATATATATATAATATATATATATGCATATATAAATTAATATATATATGTATATGTGAATGTATGTATAATGTATATACATACATACATATACATACAAATGTATGTTTATGAATATATATATATATATATATATATATATATATAGAGAGAGAGAGAGAGAGAGAGAGAGAGAGAGAGAGAGAGAGAGAGAGAGAGAGAGAGGAAATGATAGAGGGAGAGAGAGAGAGGGGGGTAAAGATAGAGGGAGAGAGAAAGAGAGGAAGAGAGAGAGAGAGAGAGAAAAGAGAGAGAGGGAGATGGGTAGAGCCTTAGCTATATATATATATATATATATATATATATATATATATATATATATATATATATATATATATAGGTATCAGAATTTATAAGACTATTTATAAAGGTGGTAATGATCAATAAAAGGTAATGATTCACCAGGTGGTGATATAGATACTGTTTTAAGTAAAAATTAGTGTTGCCTCAGTTCAGCGGATAACGTTCTGTGATTGGTCGATTTTTTCCCGAGCTAACGCTGATTGGTCGATCGAGTCGTTCGTTTAGGAAATAAAGCCCTACGACACCTAGCGATAGAAAATTCGGTCGTTACTTTTACGAGACCCCTGCGCTCTCGTTGTCTGGCATTTGAAAATAGGTCGTAAAGTCGCTAGTTGAGAAATCGTTGATAGTTCTCGTAACTGTTACGAGAGAATTTAGTAAATCCGGCCCAGGACGCTTAGATCAAGAACTTTCAAAACAAAACGTTCTTGTACAAAGCCTTAGGTGAGTCATTCTGTTTCTCTCTCTTTCTGACACACACAAAACACGCACACATACACTTATGTTTTGCGTTCTTAAATTCTTCAAGATTTTTTTTCTTTCATTGCACAGAAGTTCCTGTAACAGCGTTTGCAAAAATAGGCAGTAATATAGCAACACTAGAATGCAGTTTAATGATTTTTATATAAATTAAAAATGCAAGCTATTAGACAAATATACAGATAGAGAGAGAGAGAGAATATACAGAGTGAAGGACAGACTCACTATAGCATACTGCATAGCATGCCACGCGGCGCGGACCCGGACCACGTGGCATGCTATGCAGTATGCTATATCGTAGGTGCCGAGCGATATAGCATACTGCATAGCATGCCACATGGACCGGGTCCGCACCGCGTGGTTGGACCACGTGGTCCGTTCGCGCCCGCCTGCGCCCGCTGGTCAGAATATAAGGGTGGCCGACCTCTTTTCTTTTAACTTTGCTTGCTTGACCCAAGCTCTCATTCTCATACCCTCGGCGAGCTTGCCCGTAGTCGGCCGTACCACCTCGTTGGCGTGTAGGCCGGACACAAGCACCAAGAGCCGTATCGCGTTCCTTTCATACTAGTGTTCTTAAATAAAAGTGCACAGCTACATCAGTGTATCTCTACCGCCACCAGTAATTCAATAAATCCATATAGGAGGCTTTAGAGCCTTTTATACTCACACACACACACACACACATGGACAGATAGAAAGACAGACAGGCAGTCAGAGAGAGAGAAAACGAAACGAGAAAGAGGTGGCACAAGGAGGGGGAAAGGAGAGCAAAATCTAATGGAAAATGAGAAAAAAAGATACCATAGACCCAGTCAGCCACAAAAAAATAAAAATCATGAATAAAAGATAAAAAATTATAAAAATAAAACAGGAACACTGAAACAAGACGGAAAGAGGAAGAGTTGAAACCGATAAACGAGGATGAAGCAAGGCAAATTGATGAGGCGAGTCTCGAGTGAGTGAGCGGGAGTAAGGAAAAGCAAATATGCAATCTTATGCTTGTTTGTTATGGCGAGGTTGAGAGGTTGATAGGAGGGGAGGAGAAAAGGTAAGAAATGTGGGGGATACCCAAGAGATGGAGAACAAGGGGGGAGGGGTAGTGTGTGTGAGAGAGGGGGAGGAAGGAGATAAAGATAGAGTGAGAGAGAGGGAAGGAGGGTGTTGTAAGCGAGGGAGTGTGCATAGAGAGAGGGAAGGAGGGAGAGAGATAGAGAGAAAGCACAAGAAATGCGAGAGGAAAAAGAAAATGGTAATTGTAATGATAAAGATAATAATGATGACACTAACAATAATAATAATGGTGATAGTGATGTTACCTCTATCACTGTTATTCTTATTATTGTTATAATTATCATTATTATTATCATCAATATTATAGTTGCTTTAACGTCATCTAAAGCCGTCACTGACGGATCCCTCTTCATTTTCAAAGCATTTTTTTACATGCTTTCGGTAACTTATTCAAGATCAAACGGCTAGTTTCAAGCCGTGACATAATGCATTTTCGCCATACCCATAATTCCACGAGACATATTCCACAATGGTCTAGATATGACAGTTCAAGAAATTATCAATTTCATAGTAAAAGTTGAATCTTTTGTTGTGCTTGAAAGGTCTGAGCTTCAGAGGTGCTCGAGTATGACGTCACGATCAAAGATTTCCCGCCAAAATTCATGGATATCAAAACTTATATTCAGGATAGTATTATTTAAGTTAAAACGAATCTGTAGGATTAAATATTATATATCGTATGTATATATATATATATATATATATCAATCCATTTGGAGACAAAAAATAGGAAATAAGTAACAAACTTGCTCAAGAATTGCTTTCGTGTTTTATTGATATGCACGAAATTCCTTAATAAAAATCCCTCTACCATTGAGGATTGAATAAAAAGTATAAGTAAGGTTTTCAGATAGTCGTACTGGGTAAAGTAAACTAGTCAGCTGAGGCCTTCATTTGGTGTAAACAAAAAAAAAAAATATCAAAATGTTTCCCTGTCCTTTTATATCTTAGCCTCACATCTAAAGCAAAATGTACAAATAATAATTCAGCGCACTCTGTGGATCTTCTGGTGTGTTTTCAGATTACCACTTGCATTAAACCCTTTTCCACATTCGGAACACTCGAACGGCTTTTCTCCTGAGTGAATCCTCTGGTGTTTCTTCAGAGAACCCCTTTCACTAAATCTTTTTCCACACTCGGAACACTCGAATGGCTTTTCTCCTGAGTGAATCCTCTGATGTTTCTTCAGAGAACCACTTTCACTAAATCTTTTTCCACACTCGGAACACTCGAACGGCTTTTCTCCTAAGTGAATCCTCTGGTGTTTCTTCAGAGAACCACTTTCACTAAATCTTTTTCCACACTCGAACACACGGCTTTTCTCCTGAGTGAATCCTCTGGTGTTCTTCAGATGAACACTTTGATTAAACCTTTTACACTCAGAACACTCGAACTTTTCTCCTGAGTGAATCCTCTGGTGTGTCTTCAGATGACCACTTTGATTAAACCTTTTTCCACACTCGGAACACTCGACGGCTTTTCTCCTGAGTGAATCCTCTGGTGTATCTTCAGATGAACACTTTGACTAAACCTTTTTCCACACTCGGAACACTTGAACGGCTTTTCTCCTGAGTGAATCTTCTGGTGTTTCTTCAGATGACCACTTGCATTAAACCTTTTTCC